AAACCCTAAAACCCTAAACCCTCGGGTTCGGAGTTCAGTTCGGGGCTGAGAGCAAGGTCCTCGGTCGAAAGTCTTTAGCGGTCGAGGTCAGAGTAAGGCATAAACCCTCGAACTGAACCTGAGTCAGCACGCTTCAAGACCCAGGCTACCGAAACATGCAGTTGATGATATAAATCCTGCAATACCCATAATAGGGAAAATACCATAATTCCCATAGTTTAGGGTCCTTAAGCTAATGCAAGATTTATATCATTAACAGTAGTATGGGGCCTGAAGAACTAGAGTCAAGCGCAAACCCCTAACGTGAACCCTAAACCGAAGCCCTCAACTCCCAAACAAAAAACCTCCAAAAAAAAACGCCACAACCCTAAACCCTAAACCCTAAACCCTAAACCCTAAACCCTAAATCCTAAACCCTTCAGAACCGCAGAGTGTCCTTAAAACACCTTACAAACCCTTTGAAAATCTTCGCACCGAAGCTCTGGCGCGCTGCCTCGGCAGGCCAGGGAGCAGGAAACCTGCGTTGGGGAGGGTTTAGGGTTTAGGGTTTAGGGTTTAGGATTTAGGGGGGTTTGGAGAATTAGTGGGGGTTTAGTGGGTTTAGAGGGGTGTGAGGGTCTAGGTGATGGGGGGATGGGGTTTAAGGGTTTGGGGTGTTTGGGGCTTTGAGGGGCTCAGGGTTTGGGGGGGGAATCTGACTGAGGGTTTTGTGGACGATTTCGCTCTGTAGGCCTTCAGCTGCGCGACCTTGTGGCGTTCAGCGCCTAAGCCCCATGGTTTTCGCAGGTTCCCTTTCATGGGCATGCTGCCACAGCTGGCCTTCCCCAAAGCAGATTGCAATATGCCGTAGTGTGCGCTGCAAGGTGGCAGAGTACTGGCTTCACAAGCAGCAATACTCAATACTCCTTCAATCTAAGATCCAGGGCGGGCGCCCTGACCTGCTCACGAATCAGTTCAAAAAGAGCACGCAACCGCCAACTTGAGACTCTCGTGCCTCTATCGAAAAATTCACCTATCTGGTTTGTTTTGACATGTGCACACTATCGCAAAACCATTGTTGCTGATGCTGAATACTACGATCATCATCATTACCATTGTTGTCGTTATCATTATCAGCATCCTCATCCTTATTCATATCATTATCGTTATCATTGGGGATTTTAGCATCATTGTCACCATGGTTATTACTGTTGCTATGAGTATGATCATTCTCACCTTAGACCCTAAACCCTAAACCCTAAGTCGCTAGTACTGTCATCATCCGACCATTATCGCTGCACTGCTCAGAAAGCACCGACGGGTGAAGAAAGGAGCCTCAAATGCTCAAACAGGGGGTTAGGGCCTAGGGTTTAGGGTTTAGGGGTCCGAGGGGGACTACAACCTTCCCAAACAATCTTGGCAATCAAAGGGGCCAAGGCAAATCGAAGGCGACACCAGCATTGTGGACCACCGAGAGGGGACGTCCCTCTCGGATCTTCGCCACGAACTGAGCCGCTGCCTGACCTTGTGGTGCTTTTCGATTTAAAGTTTCCGGCTTCAAGACTTTGGGGTGTGGGGTCGTAGAGCTTTAGGGCCTTATGTTTGCAAGGCTCAGGCTTTGGGCCTTTGGGTTTTAGGGTTAGGGTTTGGATTTCAAAGCTTCAGGAATTTGGAGTTTAGGTTTAGGGTTTAGGGTTCAGATAAAAAAGGGCCAAGCAGCACGACTGCTCGTCGCTGACGTTGCACTCCAAGGCCTGCGCCCTTGGTCCCAGGAGCTCCGCCAGCTCCTGCGCCTTGCTGAGGCTGCGCGCTGCAACCAGCACGTCCCCACCATGGTGTAGGACTTGGCGAGAGATCCCCACGCCTGGGTTCTGGCTGAAGCCATAAAACCAGTAGCATAGGGTTCACTAGTACATGTCCATCTTCTGGTAAGTTCAACCTAAACTCTGCTCCTAAATAAGAGCCCAGACACCCAAGCCACGAGCAGCACCTGTCACCAACACCAGCCGCGACATGGCAGCTGAGCACACCAGGCGGGATGCATGCAGCAACAGTTCTTTACATGGCCGTCCTTCAGGCTATCAATGCAACTAGCAACAGTTCTTTACGCGGCCGTCCTGCAGGCTATCAGGTGGCTACTATCTTACGAACGAACCAGTCATTGCAATCCTCAGAACGAAACACTGAACGAATCCTTGATCGCTATGTGGGTAGTTCTCTAAAGTCTAAATTCGGGCGCGCTTTTAAGCCCCAAAACTAGTACGGCTGCCGCATAAATAATCAGCATCCTCAAAGGGACCCTAGTTTAGAGAACTACGCCAGGTGCCCGATTCTCCGGAGCCCTCATACAGTGCTCTCCTCCCGCGCCCGCAGTTCAACTCAAACCCTACACCTTGCAACCTGAACCCTAAACCCTA